AATGTTTTCTTGATGCTCCTAGCCTTAGTTTGATGTCAAATAAATCCATCTTTCATGACTAAAAGTCAAGTTCGACCATAAAGAAGCCACTTGTGCTTACATTTTGACGTAGGCCAGGTTACATAGCATGTTGAAAGATGGCATGTCGAGAGATAGTTGCTATGCACATAACACTGAAAGTGAGCGTAAGGACTGGGCACCGGTCAGATTGAACGGCTGCACATGAGGAGGATTTTGCCTGTCTGGTTCGACCATATCGAGGAAAGTTCTTATAAAGAAGTTCAGTTCAAAACATTTTTCCCCTCTTTTGAAATAAATGTGGCAACCAAAAATTATTACCATAAATTACAAAGTCAGGTACTTAATAAAAGCAGCTGCCATATTTATTTCAGTTGCCCTCCCACTGAAAATAGAAATGTTAATGAAACCCCTGAGTTTTGTCAGTCTAGTTTTGTTCACTTTGCTTTGTATACCACTAGAAGACGCCATGTTCATGTATGGAAAAGGGCAAGATCGTCACCCATTTTTGGTTTGCTTTAGCTGTCCTTATTCTACTGCCACTCAATCAAGGTATTTCACTGTTTATATTATCATTCCCTACCTCTCTCCTTCACAGAAACTCCTTAGGGGAAGAGGAAGTGAATTGGAGTGGGAAGGTGCACAGAGGACGATGGGAAGAGGGAAAGTGTGAATCTCTCTCCTGAGTGACGTAGGCCTCTCTTTTGCTGCCTTGACCATGTAGGCTGGTAGTTTAGAGGCTGGGTAGAGGAAATAACAAAAGTGCACAAGGAATGCCAGGAGAGCGAAGGAGAGAAGAGAGGCTCCTGCCCTTTCCATCGTCCTGTTGTCCCTGGGTGCTTTCCCAATCCCAATTCACTTTCTCCTCACCTATAGAGACTCTACAGAGGAGGGTGTTCATTGCAAAACAGTGCTTAAAATCCATTTTAATGATTTAATCATTTGTTTCTTGTAAGGACATCAAGAAAACCAACATTATATGAGGTCCTTGATGTATCAGAAAAAGCCACTCTTGGAGAAATCAGGGATGCTTTTCTCACAAAATCCAAAGAGGTGACCTCTCATTTTGTTTGTAATACTATTTAAAGCACCATTAAACTTGGGGGGAACTCTGTAAATCTTTGGGTGGGGGTGTACCACTGGGACTCTGAAACCCTTGCCCTATAGCCTGCAGTGCCGACGTATTGCGTGTGTTCACGAGTTACGTGTATTGGTATTACTTCACGATCAAGTAGATTTTTTTCGTCTTTCCCTGTCTTATACTAGACCATGATCATCTGATTTTGCAACCTTGTCCTAGATTAGGCACCAAATTTAAACCCCTACCCTATTCCAGACTAGCTATTTCAGTGGTGCAGAAAAGGTTTATTACTAGGCTAGGATGGGGAGAAAGGCTTTTGCCAAGATTGTAAGGGAGCAACACGTGCAAAAATTCTTGACCTCAGTGAGAGAGCTGTACAATGTTAATTTAAATATAACTGTTAATAAATTATTGTGATTACTTTTTTCAACACAGTTACATCCAGACATGAATCCACATAAACCAGAACTCCATGAAAGTTTTGTGCAGGTAAACATTGTTCTTTCTTTAATATTGTCAGACATGAAAATAAAAGCTTGCCTATTTCTTGTTCATAGCACTTAGAAGACATGTATATTTCTTCTTTATTTACTAATAACTGTCTGTATTTATAATCTTGTTTGGCATTTGATGTTCATAATAGACAAATGCCTGTGTGGACAGGGTCTTCAAGGTTTTTACAGCTTAGAAAGTTCTAACTTGTTCTCACTGGCCTGTTTTTGCAGATTAATAATGCCTATAGTGTATTAAGCAATGCCACCCAACGACTTGAATATGATTTAAAACTCAGAGAGAAACCCATACATGTAACTCAATCCTCAGGAGGAAGTCCCTTTGGTTCAGTACCACAACACCGGTGAGAGGCCATTATGTTTTTAAACTAGTGCGAGGTCCTTTGAGGAAACATTGGGTCTGCTTTATATAGTTTTTGTAGTTTCAGGGCTTGAATACTAAACCTCTATTTTCTGCTTGTCCTTTGGACAAGCAGCTCTCAAATTTAGCTTTCCCTCGGGTAGTGTTAATTTGCTTTTCTTGATTTAGTTGGAAGATGACTTACTTGGGCCCTTTCCTATTGGGCAAGTGAGAATTAAAAGTTACTTGCCTGGCAGGAAATTCTACTTGTCCTACATGTAGATGACTGAATACCACTTTTTTCAAGCCCTGAATTTTGAAGGGTAATATTGATCCCAATTTGGTAATTAGAATTCACAGAATTTCTAATGGTCTGTTGATAAATTATCAACCATACAGTGGAAATTTTTTTCCTCCCTCTGTTGGCTCTAAAGTGGTATTACTGACAGGTATCATTTTCCCATGGGGGTACTCTTAGAAAATTTGGATGGGGATGTGAGGCCCACTTCCCAAAACCCTTACCCTATTTATGATCAAAATCTGTGATTTTCCCTACCCTATGTATATTTATGACCTGATGGTCCAAAAATTTGATACCTTATTTATGACAGCACCTGATCCTTTAATCGAATTACCCTGTTTCAGACCTGCCATATAATTAGTTATTTAGTTCAGACTGTCATTGAAGGCATTGTGAAGGGCTTTTTTTTAATGGTCTTATCGATAATGATGAAAAAGTAGCCTCTTCTAGAAAGAAAAAACATCTATCCAATTCAAGACTAGAGTGCAAAAACCATACCCTATTTATGACCAAAACAGCCAATATCAATACCTTATTTATGACCCAAATGGCTGAAAAACCATACCCTGTGGGGCCACACACACTTATATAATCCATATAAGTTACCCNCCCCCCCCCTCCCATTTTGGTGGAAATTTTGTGATGTGATAATCTGAGATTGAACTTGGTCAGTTGCAACTTGCTCAAACAGATTTGAATTGTGTTCCTTTGTACATACGGTCAATCAATAGCTCAAAACTTGCATAGAGTATATTCCTGAGATACAGTACATGTAATTTTTTTGCCAGTTTGCTTCTTCATTTTCCAGTTACCATTGACCTGTGATGTTGCTTCTTTGGTATTTTGTATGGTGAAACTTGTGTTTTATGATTCCGTAAG